AGGTAGCAAGGAGTCATATTACCTGGTTCACTATTGTGAGGGTAGGTAGTAAGGTGGATACTACTATTGTGAGGGTAGGTAGTAAGGTGGATAGTAGTATGATCCAGTAGTAACACTACTACCAAATAACAAGCAATCAACAAATATTAAAACACTCTCCTTTCTCACTCCCACTCTCTTATTCACCCATCCATTCCTAGTAATAACTAAAACAACAACTCCCTTCATTGTAAAATATAACAACTTAAAATTGGATAGGACATATCTTTCTGTCCAGATTCGTACAACTAAGATGTGTTTCATTCAGTCATATGTTGCTACATTTTGGGATGGAAAGAGTACATGATTTTGTGTTCCATCCTTATTACCCACTTGCTATTCCCTTCATTCACAAATGATCAGCATATATGATTTGTGCACCTATGCCAATGCACTCCCACATGCCACTTAAATTTACATCGATTAACCTGCAACACCGTTTTTTCATATCCTATGCATGCAACAAGGGAAATTTGCACCAATGATATATTGCTTGCATGTATACATGCATGCACCTCAAATTACAATTAGTTGAATAGTACATTGAACTATGCATGCAAAAGACCATTTAATAATACACAGAGAAACGAAAAGCCAGGTATAAAAAGTACTATCAAATATGCTTACCATTTCTATATAACGTTGAAAAAAATTATATGATGATCATTTATGAATGGAGAGTCTTCCTCCTCATTATAGTCCTTCTAGAATCCAAGGTATTTTGTCGAAATATATCCTGTCTTTGAACCTTTGTATCCCTAGGAGAGTACTACATTATAAGGAGGCCCTTAGAAGTAATCCTCTCTTCAATGTCCTGACTAGTCGATGCGATGTGCTTACAGGCTACAGCAAAGAAGGGTACGTGCAGCTGGTTGGAAGTCGAAACCGCCCGCAGCTGTACTCTCTTTATCACACGAAAACAAATCTATGACTAGATGTGATATATTTTAATAAAACGAATCTAGACATTCTAGTACAATAAATCTGGACAGAAATATGTCTTGAATTCGTTGCACTAGGATATGTCACATCCAATCCTAGTTTTTTTTTTATTTTTTTTACGGAGAGAGTAGCTAGCGAGAGAAGTTCAAACCGCATGGCATACACAGATCACACGACACGAACATGCTAGCTAGATCAATTTACCAGTTAATTTGTCTAATGCTCTATTCATCTTCTAGCGCTTAGACTAACAAAAGAAAATTAAATAAGTTGTACGAAATGTACAATCCAACATTACTGGGTGTGCTCAGTTTCAAAGTCATGAACAACCATTTAGACATACAAAACAGGTGGAAAAATGAAGGCGATGCAAGAAATTTTGGTCAAGGCGTATCTAGAAATTCCAAGCCCGACCGGCCTAACACTCTCGACTCGTTTCAGAACATTCAGCAAAACAATACTCCCTCCGTTGCTTCTTTAACGTTTGACATCATTAACTTTTCAATAAAAAATTAACAATTTCTCTTCTTAAAAGAAGTTACTCCCTCCATCCCAAAAGTTACTAGAGTACAATATAAGTATTTTTTTTACTATAAATCTGGATAAGCCAAAAGTTATTATATTTTGGGACGGAGGTAGTATATAATTATTATTTTTTTATTGTTATTTGCTTTACTATTAAATATACTTTAATCAATTTTTTTCATATTTGTATAATCTTTTAAAAAAGAATGGTCAAACGTACGTCTTCAAATATTAAAAAATAGGGGCAGTAATTAATTACTGTACTTTTCCTAGCCCGAGCTACTTGTAAAAACAATATACAGCCGGCATGTCACATTAGTGTACTTGCCTTGAGATAAATTAATATAGAGAAAAAAATAGCTCAGCTCAGCTCTCTGAATTTCTACTACTACAACGTGGTGGCTCTTCTGAACTCTGAACCTTTAATATATTTTTTCCCTCAGCGAAAGAGAAAAAAAAATCAAGGCCGGACGACGTACTGGCAGAGCAAAGATCCGAATCTTGGGGCGTCACATGCCGCCACATGTGGTCCTTAGCTCGTCTCGTTGTTCTTGCGTCGCATGTGCATGGATGGATGGATCATGCATGTAAGCTAGTTGCACTTGCACCACACTGACCGCACGCAGCAGTGGCACGCCTCACTCACGTCCCGCGTATTCCCTCTCCGTTCCTTAAGAAAAGAATCTAATACGAAAATATGATATATCCTAAAACTATAAATCTAAACAGACCATTATTTAGATTGATAGTACTAAGATGTACTCACTCCGTCCCAAAAAAAATCCAATCCTAGATTAGAACCTGGACACATGTGTGTCCAGGTTCATGTGTCCAGGTTCAAACTTAGGATTGGGTTTTTTTTTTTTTGAACAAAGGGAGTATGTCATTTTTAGAGACGAAGGGAGCATATTTCTCTTGCAACCAAGCACAAACAGCACAAATATTTATTATAGACAAAACATACCGGACAATCCTCTCTCTCTCTATATATAGAGAGAGAGAGAGGGGCAAATATAACGTCATCCTGTCTGTACTTATTTTTTCCGTGTCTGCAGGACAAAGATATTCATACCGAATGATTCAATATTAACGTGGTACCATCAATAATTTGTACGGTCTTTCTCTCTCTCTCTCACACACACACACACACACATATATATATATATATATATATATATATATATATATTTGTGTGTGGTGCACCAGAGCTGTCCTTGATCCTTTATGATATTGCTTATGCTATTTTAATATATGTATTTCTTTTGAGAATGATGAATATATAGTTGAAAATATAATACATGCATATAATATCATATGCGTAGTAGTATATGATTTGACCTAATTAGGTTGTGCATACGTCTTTCACATAATCCATCAAACACTAGATAGATCATATCTAGGACATCCATTGTCAGTCAAAGTCACCATTTTCGCCACCACGACGAATCTAATTCCATTTCGTGCCAGAACGTACTCTCGTCGAATGTGAGAGCGAAAGCAGTATATCCACACTCCATGACTCCATATCCACTAGCCCTCCTCATGGATCACCAAATTCCCCTCCTCCCTTCACAATCAGCCAACGTGCAGTGACACCCAAAAATCCTTGGAGTCCACCCAGGTTCAACGAACCTGGACGCCTTTTTCTGCCTCCCTAAACCTCTAAAACCCGTCCCAGTTCAAAACCATGTCCAGGTCCATCCAAGAGAGGTTCAAATTACACTGGCTGAGCCGCTTAAAATCAAGGTGGCAACCGGCCGGTTGCTACCGCTTTTTGACCTGGTTTGCATTGTGAGGTTGTTTTTTCTTCTCCCCGAGATAAGAAAAAGCGAGCGTTTGCCGTTTCGGCCGGATCGGCGGCCTCGGGCAACGTGCTCGAGCAGGCTTGTGTGTGCGCACACGAGTCAGTCAAGTCGCCACATGGCCGGAAAACACAATGCGTTGGATCGTTTCGTGGCAGACAAGTTTTTTTTTTGAGTGATTCCAAAGAGGAGCAACCAGGGTTCGTAATTCTGACAAAAACCGGCTGTATTCTATGAAATTTCGACCTTTTGATATGGCTCGGAATTAATTTTTGGTTAAAATTTTGAAGGTTAAACATTAAGTTTGGTCGAAATTTAGTCGAAATTTATCGAAAACCGATCAAAATTTGTCGAAAACCGTGATACCGACGGGCTCGAAATTTAGTGGTCAACCGGTAATATAAACCCTGGGAGCAACTTTGGTGCTCCCTTAATCTCAAAAGTATCTCTACCGATCTTGCAATTTCTTGTGTCCTATAAAATACATAGATATCTTTATATTAGGTATAAATTTGGACTATCTTTTCCTATGAATTTGAGTAAACCAAATTAGACATGTTCGCGGTATAGCCGCTATGTCACATCTGCTGACACAAAGTGCTATTCGAGCTAGCTGTACCGTAGTCGAATGAGTGCAGCCGAATTCATAAGTAAAGATACCTATATTTTTGGTGACGAGACTAATAAAAGTTTGCCTATAATTTTCCTATTTTTTAGCACATAAAATGTACAAATTAAGGGTAAACATACAATAAGCACATCATTGTATTATATCAATAAAATCGCACGATCACGCTGACACTATTTTGTTTCCTAAAATATTGTGCATTGAAATTGCGATTTTTAACACATTTGTTGCAAGACAGGATAAGAGAATGGAAATTGAATGAAATCTACTCGGAGCAATTGAGAATTAGAGACTCCATTTTGAGGAGGGAATGGGCAAACAACACGCCGAAGATACCGGGAGAAATGAATCCGCTATCCAAAATCGAGCTAATATAGCACTGTTACTCATATGAATTTCTAGATTTTTTTCCTACATATATAGTGCAATTCTATCATACAGTTATTATTAATTTGTAATAGGTGTATTTCGGTCTTATTAAACTCCGATAATAATGGTTTAACAATTACTCCCTCCGTTTCACAATGTAAGTCATTCTAGCATTTTTTACATTCATATTGATGTTAATATATCTAGACATATAAATATGGAAAATGCAAGCTAGACTTACTTTCTCCGTTTCATCATGTAAGTCATTCTAGCATTTTCCATATTCATATTGATATTAATAAATTTAGATAGATATATATGTCTAGATTCATTAACATCACTATGAATATAAGAAATACTAAAATGACTTACATTATGAAACGGAGGAAGTAGATACTAATAAAAAGGGATAAAATATACCCAAACAATCGAGCCTTGTATATGTATTTTATCTACCTTGATACGATTGGGATCAAAGTAATACAGTAGTATATTCTTGCTTTCATGGGAGGATCAAAAAAATGATAACGGTATAAAAAAAGCAGTGAAGCAAGCTCGCAGACAACACGCCGGATACAAAGGGGAAACCGAAATAAAACCGCCGGAGAAAAGGAAATGAATATATATATTTTCAATTTCGTAACGAAAAAAGATATATATATAAAAAGAAGCCTTGAACTCCGCCTTTAAATATTCCCACCTCGCCTCGCTCCCCTTCCCCATCATCTCATCTCACACCAAAAACGAATCAGCTCGTCTCCTTCCTCCGCCTCCGCCTCCGCGAGCTCCCATTCCATTCCCGGATTGCGCCGCCGCCGGTGTTGCAGCAGCCATGGGGATGGGGCCACTAGAGAACGCCGTGGTGGACGCGGCGGCGGAGGCCGTGGCGGCGAAGGCCGCGGTCGGCGGCGTGGGCGTGGGGGGTTCGTACGCGGTGCTGCAGTGCGGGGAGGACTCGGAGTACGTGAGGAAGGCGTACGGGGGCTACTTCGAGGTGTTCAGGGCGCTGCTGGCGGAGGACGGCGAGCGGTGGCGGGTGTACCGCGCCGTGCGCGGGGAGCTCCCCGGGGAGGAGGAGGCCGCGGGGATCGACGGGTTCGTCATCTCCGGGAGCTGCAGCGACGCCCACGCCGACGACCCGTGGATCGTCGCCCTCGTCGACCTCATCCGCCGCCAGAACGCCGCCGGCAAGCGCATCCTCGGCGTCTGCTTCGGCCACCAGGTGCCACCCCCCTCCTCCTCCTCGTCCGCCATGGATGTCTCCCTCTGTTCGTCTCGGTTGCGATTTGGTTTGGTTTGCTCGGGGGAGGGGTGAAATGGTAAATTTGCTCTTTCCGAGATCGGCGCCGCTTGCGATTACCTGGTTGGAGTGGCGTTGTTCTAGCGACTTCTTATGGATTCTTTTTTTTTCGTCTTCCTTTTGCTTTTTTAAAACCATGCGCAGTAAAAATTCGAACTAATTGCATTATCGCAGGTTAAACAGGTTGAATCCGAGTACAAAATTTGTAAATAGTAATTCATAAATTGGGGGGTAAACCTGCAATGGCAACTGCAGAAGTTCACAGGAGGTGAGCTTAGCCTTTGCAGTGATCCGCACGGACTTTTTTTTTATTTTGAAAAAGTACTTCTTCTCAAATAAATAAAAATTGCTTAAACTTAAAATATACTCTATCCGTCCAAAAAAAATCAACCTCATACTGAATATTGACCATATCCAGATTTATAAGATATAATATATCTTGAGTTTCTTTTGGACGGAAAGAAGTACAAGTATAAAATCGTTTTTAAAACTAGTAGAGCTATAATATTTATGGGGCGTGAATCCCGTGGGCCCACACCGAACCGCACCCGTGGCCAGAAGAAATTCCCGTCTTGTGCGTTGGACAGGTGGGCCCCACTCCCTGTCACGCCAACGCATTAGCCTGGCCGCTTAAATAAAAGAAAATGAATTTTTAGCTTTCGCTAAATCTAATTCCGGACACGGTTGATGACAGCCTGGCACAGTGCGCCAAGGCGGTTCACGTGAGCTGACGTGGCGGCACCGGCTGAGCTCACTTGCTGTTGCACACACACAAGACAATCTAGTAATCTAATTTTATTTAATATATATTTTTTCTTCTCTATATTTGGCGGTAATCAACTCCTCCGTGGAATTGCTGCCACGGAAGCTGCTCGGTTTGAACGGCACACGGTTGGCGTGATGCATCTAAACCGGTGAAGGCGGTCAGCGGTCGCTTTTCAAATCAAACCACCAGCGACAGCGCCCAAAGAGTGTGATTTTTGTGTTAGGTTGGGGTGGGCTTACATATACATGTTTGAATCCGGTCGTTTGTCCGAACGAGCGGGAACCATGGTTACGTGAGGACTCTGTATACGTTTTGTTGTAAAAAAAAGGATGAGTGCGCGTATTCAACTTACTATAATTGTTTTGATTTTTTTTTAAATTTTTTTTAAGAGATTGCACAGTCTGATCTGTGTCTATAGAAAGGAGATAGAAGTAGCCTTGTCCCTAACTTGATCGAAGAGACGAGTTGTTCTTGTTTGTGCGAGTAGGGAAGCGCAACTTGTGCTGCTGTTCTTGGGGGACATTGATCCCCAACTTGTCAGCGGGATTGGTTTCTTTAGTGATTAGTATAATCGTAGGATGGAGTCCCGTACCGATCATAGCTTAATATCCAAGCCAAGCATCGTCCGTGATTTCTGTTCAAAAGTCAAAGCTTTGCAAGAACCGTACAGAGCTCTGTCGAAGAGGTCAGCGTGTCCATGGCAGCAACAGCTGCGCAAGAACAGTTATAATTTACTCCTACATTCGGTGTGCCGCGTTAGATCTCGCAAGCTGTCTGAATCCGAAAATGGATCATGCCAGCTCAGCTCGCATGTACTCCCTCTGTCCAAAAAAAAAAAAGACAAACCCTGGTTTCTGTGTTTAACGTTTGACCATCCGTTTTATTTGAAAAAATTATGAAAAAAATTAAAAAGACAAGTCACGCATAAAATATTAATCATATTTTATCATCTAACAACAATGAAAATACGAATTATAAAAAAATTTCATATAAAATAGACAGTTAAAGTTGGACATAGAAACCTAGGGTTTGCCTTTTTTTTTTTTTTTGGACGGAGGGAGTACTCCACTGTCTGTCTGTCGGTGTGCTCTCCTCCTCCACCCACATGGCTGGGCTCTGCGAAGCTCTACCAGTTGGAATTAGTTGAAATGTTTGTGATTTGTGAACGAGCTGGATGTGATGCGTCGCCGGCCGGCCCCGGCATCGGTCGATGATGACCCCAGTGTGGCGAGGATGGAATCGATCGCCTGTCAGAAAGAAACACGTTTAGCTCTTAAAAATGCCAGCTTTGGTCTTAATTATTCACGCACAGGACCGAGTTGGCTGTTGATCTGGTCCCCCTTTTGAAGATCTCTGCATGTGATTGACTGCAGTCTGCAACATTTGTTTTTATTTTTACTGGAAAGTTTCAGATATGAAGTAATAATATAGTTTTGCCGTACAATGGTTCAGTTTCTTGCCGTTTGAAAAAAAAAAAACAATCTTTACACAAGTGGCTAACAGAGGCGTGATCACTCTGCTGCAGGTCCTGTGCCGAGCGCTGGGCGGCAAGACGGGCCGATCGAAGAAGGGCTGGGACATCGGCGTGAACTGCATCCACCCCACCGCGGCCATGGCGAGGCTCTTTTCGCCGATCAAGCTCCCCGTCCACATGCCCATCATCGAGTTCCACCAAGATGAGGTACACTTTTTCGCCGTTTCGTTTTCAAGGTTTGCTCTGATCAAAGCTTCAGAAATGGTCAATGACCTGACATAACTTACATGGCAAAATGCAGGTGTGGGAGCTGCCTCCTCAGGCCGAGGTGCTGGCGCGGTCGGACATGACCGGCGTCGAGATGTTCCGTCTCGGCGACCGCGCCATGGGCGTCCAGGGCCACCCGGAGTACAGCAAGGACATCCTCATGAGCATCGCCGACCGTCTCCTCCGGAACGATCTCATCCTGGTAAGCTACGGAATTGACTGAACTCTCTGTGGTTTCTTCTGTCTACTACTGTAGCTGGTCTGAAAAACTGAAGATTTGTGTTGATTACAGGATCACCAGGTGGATAAGGCGAAGGCGAGCTTCGACTTGCGGCAACCAGACAAGGATCTGTGGAAGAAGGTGTGCAGGGGTTTTCTGAAGGGGAGGCTTCAGTCATCGCAGCAGCCGCAGCAGCAGCAACATCAGAAGCAGCAGAAGGCGGCGCAGCTGGTGCTATAGTAAACAAGATTAGTGAGTGAGATCAGATGGGGGCATTGGGGAGCCTAGATTAATCCTTATTTTCTGCTTCAGATTTGTACAGGAAAAAAACTATTTATTCGGAGCAATAATAAGAGAGTAATTGGGGGTGGCCTAATTAGCAAAATCCCATTTGCCAATCAATTCCCATCTTCCATCCTACATTTTCGTCACGCGGCACATAACAAAACGTACTTACATGGATGCTCGTTCATGTATCGATCGTCAGTACTGTAGGATGCTTCCAATTGAAACCGAGTCCCTTTTCAACTTTTCCAAGAAACAAAGCTGTGTCCATCCACAGCGCCCAAACCTGCAAAGTACAAAAACACTAACTTTCTCTTTGGCGTCATTTCAAAAGACCCAACCAACCAAACAAAACAAGCCAGTACCAAGTCCCTCTCATGGCTCAACAGTGTTGTGTTTGTTAGTTGGAACGAACGAAGGACATTGTCATCATTTGGGCTACAGAATCCGCTCGGTTTCTTGGCCGTCCTCATCGCGCGAGAGAGTCTGCCAAGATCCAAGATTCCGGCGGCTCCCCGGCCACGCACGCGCCCATCTCTCGCGAACGTGACGCCGTTGCGGCGTTGGTGAGGACGACCACAACGCAACGCAGCACAACACAAACGCGGTAGAAATGAGTTGAAGAGATGTGGCCAGCCATGGCCATATGTGGGGTGCGGGGGGTTAGTGTAGTATGGACAATGGACCACCGGCGGAGCGCCGTTAAGCTGGTGGAGACGCGCGAGCGAGACGGATCCACGCGCAGCCTTCTCCGTAGGCAGAGGGATTCCGGGACCGGCGGCCGGTGGCTCATGCTTGGCGGAGGGGGACCAATTGATGCAATTGAAATGGAGATAGCTACGTAACGGTATTCCGTTTAAACGGGATGATACTTCAGAGGTACTCCCTCCTCTCCGTCTCATAAAAATTATATTTCTAGCTCCAAGTCTTTGTCCTATAAAAATTATATTTCTAGTCATGTGGGGCCCAACCAATTGATTCATCTATATAAGTTTAATTTGGGCTGCTAATGCTTGTAATTTTATTAAGTATGCTAATTATATGGGTTAATTCTCTCAAACTTCCTTTTAATCATTTGTATATATGGAATGTGTGCATGCAGTGGGTTCATTAAATAAGTTATTGTGGTCATTTTTCAATCCTACTATTTTATCCTAAATTAGCTAGAAATGTAATTTTTATGGGACGGAGGTAGTATCATCTGATGTGTGGATATCAGCCGATACCTACCAGGTATCTGACAATACTTTAGAGGTTTCATCTCTTCTGAACGGAATATCGTCCTGTAGCATTTTTCATTGAAATTTACTCCGAACTATTTAGTTTTTTTTAGGGGGTGGCAATTAGGATATTTATAGAGTGGAAATAAGATTCTATTTGCTTTACTACTTTATCCCTATTTTTTCTAAGGGAAAATCTGCTCTAGGACACTTTAGGCTTTATTTTGTTGCCAATTCCAACCTTACTTAACTTGATGCCTTACAAAATTTAGTAGTATTTTTGAGAGGAAAGTTTCGGAAGTAACAAATTTTAGTAGAATGTCATTGGTAAGGTAATGTTTAGTTCGTTACCCTACTAAAATTTGGTAGCACTACAATTTAATACGTCGAAAGTGGTAACAACGTGAACATGCCATCTCACTTTGATGTGAAGTTGAACGAGGGTTCCATAGCAATGCCTTCAAAAAGGTGAACGGCGCTCGAGGGCATTGTTGTCGCTCCACCAGCAAGCCGAGTAAGACTTTCACCTCAGAGTCCCCATACAACCCTAGCATCCACAACGAAAGCCACCAAATTTCACATACACACCGAAGCTACCTGCACTATGCACACTACCACCTGCACAATGGTCGGACTGGTACCATTGACAACCTGCTCTGCCACCTAGCCAGACCCAGGGAGCCAGGTCGTCGGTGCTACTAGATGACTACCAACTAGACAGTCCCCTCACAGAGACCACCATATAACCTGGATGTGGATCTACAGAAAGAGAGGAGGAGGAGGAGGGGGGGGGGGGGGTAGGGAGAAGGAAAGATGGGGAAAGGAAGAGGGAAGGAGGAAGGAAGGATGGGGGGTGGGGAGGGAGGCGTCGTGGCTATGCCGACAATGGCAAGACAAGGTGGAACAGGAGAAAAACGAGGAAGGGAAAGGAAGAGGGAAGGAGGAGGGAAGAAAAGGGTGGGAGTTGCCATCGCTAGCGGCGGCGACGCTAGTGGGACGTGGCCGGCAAACCTCCTCTCGGGGCTGGTCGGCTCCCGTGTCTATTTAGGAGAACGGCACGTGAGTCCTTTTTTCTCTGCGTGTATAGACAATAAATTGCTTCTTTTTAGGCCCTTCTATCATGCAACTAGTGCTTCCAAACAAATCCCTATAACACCTTGTAAGCCATAGAGACAAGCATTGTTCATGTCGTTCTGTAGGATCATCCCAATTCCGTCCGTGCAATCGTGTGGTCTGATTGAGTCAACAACATTTTGTTTGGTGGAAGAAAACTGATGGATCACCTATTCATTTATAGGGATAAATTGAGCAGATACCTATTCATTTATAGAACAAGTGGTTAGTAAAAAATGGTTTTTTTAAAAGAAATGTACTTTTAGAAAAGTGGGGGCAAATAGTAAATGACAATAATTCAATGGATAATCTGAAAAAGAACAGGGCCTTAATTTCATCTAACTGTGCAGTGGACATGTCCCCTTCTACTTCAATAGGTTCTCCTGTTGAAAATTAATGAGTAAAATGCACCAGCGGTCCTTAAACTTGTCAGGAGGTTTCACTTAGGTCCACGAACTTGCAAAGAGCACATCGAGGTCCCTAAACTTGGTTTATTGTATCATCCCAGTCCAAAGCCACTTTTGACTGTGGTCTTGCCTACGTGGCACGCCACGTGGACGATGACATGGAATTTTTTTATTTTTTTCTCTTCTTCCTTCTTTTTTCTCTTTCTTCCTTGTCTAAAAGATGAAAATGCCTCGTACACATCATCGTCCGTGTCATCGTCTTTTCATAAAAGAGAAAAAAGAAGGAAGAAGAGAGAAAAAAAATTCCATGTCATCGTCCACGTGGCGTGCCACGTAGGCAAAACCACGGTCAAAAGTGGCTTTGGACCTGAATGATACAATAAATCAAGTTTAAGGATCTCGATGTGCGCTTTGCAAGTTCGTGGACCTAAGTGAAATCTCCTGACAAGTTTAAGGACCGTTGGTGCATTTTACTCAAAATTAATTGATCCATGACACATAAGCCCCCTCATCTAGAGGTTCACAAACTGCTTAACATTCAGAGACATCCATCATATGGAGTTGTTTAATCAGCATCAAGAACCGCGTGTAACTTATTATGATGGTTATGCACCAAACTTTCATTATAATGTCTATCAGTTCCGAAGGAAAAAAATATGTTAATACGATTTTCCATGTTTTGCACGAGCAGCTACACGAGAAAATAGCACGAGAGTTTTGGTAGTACAAAATTGGGCCAACTCGCTGCCAGCCACACTACTAGAGATAAGATAGGTGTCTAGGTTCGATGAACCACAAGCGGTACCGACCGTGACCGGTCCGTGTTGTGGATAGACGTAGCCATCCCAATTGCTGTGGAGCTCCCAAAAGTTGTGGACCATCCAAGTCAACCACATCCTGAATCAATGGTTCGGTTCACTTCTCAATCGACGATCCAAAGCTCTAGTGGAGCCAAGGACGATGGAGCACCGTTGTGCGAGGTTCCAGCCCACTACTCTCACCGCCTTACCCCTCTTCTTCCTCCCGCTCTCCCTTGCCACTCTATACAAGATACCCCTGTGGGAGCAGCACTAGCCCCCATGAACTAGCTACATTGGGGCATGGTTGTCGGTGATGCTCCTCAGCGGATTGGGAGGAGAAGCAGTGCAGTTGATGGGAGAGTGGACCGGCGCGGCGGATGGGGAAGAGGCGGCAGGTGAAAGGAGAAGCGGCGCGACGGATAGAAGAGTGAAGCGGCACGGTGGATAGGAGGCGAGGCGATGCATCCTGAGAGTAGGACTGAGATACACTTCCTTACCTTGGTCACATGCATTGTAGGCTATGTGACCTCAACAATTACTCACCCTAATTTAAGCTATGAAAAAAGTAACGTGCAATGGGGCGTTCGAGGCCTTGGGCCAATTTCTTAGTTTCAGAAGGACTAGCCACACCCATAGCGTATCTTGCATTGCCGCTGCTCTTATCTACTACTACCAGTAGTTGTTGCTATAGAAGAAACGCACCAACACAGTGCCAAGTCGCAGCGACTATTCATCATTAACTTACTTGGGATGACACTGTGCACAAGATGCTGTGCAATACAGGGGTTCAACATTGACATATGCTTGTAAACGTCGGGAATGGAAGCATATCAAGAAGGGTTAGAAGACATGTCAACAGCTCAACATGACATAGATGTTTGGTTGTGTTTAGTTCACGCTAAAATTAAAAGTTTGGTTGAAATTGGAACGATGTGATGAAAACGTTGAAAGTTTGTGTGTAGGAAAGTTTTAATGTGATGGAAAAGTTGAAAATTTAAAGAAAAAGTTTAGAACTAAACTCGGCCTTTATAGTGACAGATGGTGTAATAGACAACTTTCCACGAGGGTACCAGAGCATATGAACATTTTCTAATGTAGGAATGTGGGATCATATAATTTGGTTGTTGATGTTAGAAACACACTTAAAACGGAACAACCTAGTACTTGCATACGTAGGCCTTGTTCGGAAGACCTACTTACCACACGGCTGCAGCTGCACAGCGCAGCCAACCAACGGCTGCAACTAGCTAATAGTAGCTACAACCTATAGATGTTGAAGCTAGCAAGTGTAGGGAGCAGTAGTTTTTGTGCAGCCGAACGAATGACGGCTGTAAAATTTGGGCTACCGAACAGACCCGTAAAACGTAACGACTCGTTAGAATATAATTAATTAAATATTAGCTATTATTTTAACATAAATATATCAATTTATATATTTTAACATAAATACATTAACTTTTAAGACAACTTTCGTATAACGGTTTTTCCAAACATTTATAGTATTTTGATAGGCTTTGCATGGAAAATGAATTACAGGTTTTTTCAAAAGTTTAGTATTTTGATAAGCGTGAGAAATTGAGTTAGATAGGGTACAGAAGGCAGCCTCAGTTACCCTTTATTACTATCTTTTTCATGGTTTTACTTCAATTTCTATCATAGAAACGTACATGTCGCACTTCTTAAAATGGTTAGTTACCCTAATGATTTGCCCTCGTATAAAAAATAACTCAGTCTGCTCTCAGGCGAGCCACAATTTTGACACTAGTTTGAATTTCCACAAAAATTTAAACAAGATATAAACGCAGCATGAAACCGTCAGTAAAGTTATAAGTATGCAAAACCCCCAACCAGCCAGAATATGGGCCAGAACCAGTGACAGAAGTGCAGTGGAACGCAAGGAGAAATCCGTCCAAAGTGAGCTCACGAACTTGTCAAATCAAAACAATATCGCATCAAAACAAGGCGGCAAACGGAGACTGCTGTGATTCCACGAAACATGAAACAACGGAGCGTTTCGAGAAATAACGGGTTTAATTCCATAATATTTATGACACCCAGAGCAATGTAGGCAGTTCTAGCATTTTAGGATAGTAGAATGTACCTACTCCCAGAAGTAGCATACCACAAACCCAAGCGTACCAACGATTATCAGAGTACAGCCATAAGCAGTGGCACCAAGTTCATGAATTTGCCAAGTTATTCATGTATAATCATGAGAGTAACGCGAGGCCCAATTAATAAAAGTTCCAAAAGGCCACCAGCCTAAGCAGATGCACCACCACGGCGGCACTCGTTCAGCATATCCAGGTAGAATTGGCACTTGCTGATGTCACTTCCATAGTTGTTGATGCACTGCAATACAAAAAAACCAATAATTAGGATTTAGGACAACCTCCATGCTAGTGCGTAGACTCTTGTTAGTTACAGGTAGTAGCATGCATATACAAATTAATTCTTATCAATTCAATCTATGTTAACACTATGAAGAAATGAGGATGCTTTCTTCTGTTCACATAGAATTAATCAGATGATGGTAACCAGAGAATGGTGGGGATCAACATGCAAGCCAGAATGCCAGATAGAGTTTTAAGAGTAAAATTAAAATAGATAAATGAAGCATCATCAAATTCATTCTCATGGCTGCATGGGAAATGTAAGCACGAGTAGATGGAAGCAGCCAGGCAACAAAAGATAACTAAGCCAAAATGGGCAGGAAAACATACGTCTTGGAAGGCCTTGGAATGGATGCTGCATGAGTCAGATGGAGTGGCGTTGGCCATTGGGGTGGCAGAGGCAGCAGCCTCGGAGACAACAGTCTCATGCTGAATGGTACGGGGACCCATTACAGCATCAACAGCCCTATGTGCCATGGCACTACCAGTACCAAAAGCCATGCCTGCATATATGTGCAAAGAAGTACTTATTAGAAACTGCATTGTTAATATAATGCTATTCATTTCAATTAAAATGAAGCAAAATGATGATACCTTGAGCAATAGTGGAACCAATTCCTCCCAGGATAGAGCCACCTCCGTTCTGGGCAGGAGCTGGAGGAGGAGCCTGCCTTGCTGCAATGAACAAATTACAGATGTCAATCAAAGAACACAAGACACAACTTGACAAGACAAAACACTTTAAAACCAGTACAGATTATACAGGTACAATGAGAACATAAGGCACAACTTGACAAGACAAAACACTTTAGAACAGTAAAGAATAACACAAAATTTGTGAAACCCCAACATGGACAAATCAATACCTGGCTGCGGAGGGTTCCTCACGGGAGCAGCACGTGGTGCAGGGCGAGACCTTGCTGCAAAATAAATGTCAAAGCATAAAAAAGAATGAAATGGGTTGAGATGTGTCACACTAATCTAGAGCATATGCATGTAGAAGGGCATAATACATACAGTTAACAACATCATAGTCTTCGTACATAAGAAAAAAGAAAAAAGAAACACCACTTCATATCAGAATCTATCTAAGAAGGGATGAACAGAAAATCAGGCCCCTTCCCTCAAAAAAGATTCTATTTGCTATGTGCCCCAGTCTGAACCAAATGCAAATATACTAAGCAGCTGGTTATTCATGAGGCAGTGGTGCCAAGCTGCATAGAACATTATAGTACAGTACTAACTTATACAAGTGGTCTGCAAACTAATTTTAGTCATTCAGATCTTTTAATCTTTGAACACTATATATATATATATATATATATATATATAAAATCTTAATATTAGTAAATCTCACGAATTTTAAAGGAAATGGATTGATAAGAGAGAAATGCTGGAATATGCAAGGCCGATCAATGAACAAACCCAGAAAGAAGGGACTTGCACTTAGAGCAGCCAAAGCAGTCAATAACATCTCTATATGCCCCATAACTAAGCCAAGATAGCATGAACAACTACAGTGGCTACTCAAAAAGGCAAACAGTATTTGCAGCCCAAAGCAATTGAAAAAAAAAAGCTTAATGCACAATGTGCAAGGCTGTTCAACAATCCCTATAAAGAAGGGAGTTGTACTTAAAACAGCTAAAGCAGTCAATAGCCTCTCTATATGCCCTCTAACTAAGCCAAGATAGCATGTATAACTAGAATGGCTACTCAAAAAGGCAAATAGCATGAGCTCCCCAAAGGAACCGAATTGAACAATCTTAATGCATGTTCAACACCACTTTCTGATGACCAAATATGAAATAGAGATAGTTGTATGGAACTAAAGACTGCAGGAACACGTAGAAGATGTACATCTAGAACATCTTGGTATCATTTCTTGTTATAGAAGATGAGGTACCCAAGCCCAAGCAAATTTCAAAACTTCCACAGCTATGATGGCTACTCATTAAGACAGAATGAAATTCTACAATAGTGATGAAATAAACACAAACAGTTAACTTTAATGACTAAGGCAAAATGCAAGGGTGTAGTTTGGATTGTGGATGGAAAACTGTAGCAAGAAATAGTATGAACATAAGAATTTGATGGAATGTCTAGAGCTGCTTGGGGAGCACCGCATATTATGGTTTACAAGGCGCTCCCTCAAAAGGCCCAAGTGGGCATCAAATGCCCATCTGTATGCACCTCCTAACTAAGCCAGGACAGTATGCACAACTGAAGTGGCCACTCAAAGAGGAACATGGAATGGAAGCCATTGGTTTATCATAGCACATGCACGATGCAATTCGCAATGTATATAAACTAAAGATATATATGTTGGTTTATCATAGCACATGCACGATGCAATTCGCAATGGAATATAAGACATATGTGGAGTCCATCTAAGAAAGGATCAATGGAAATTTCCTTTCCCTAATATATTATGGATTCAAACTTTGTTATATGCCCCTGTCTGAACCGCCTGCGCATTTTGCCACAAAACAATTCGCAACCGGTTATTCAAGAAGCAATCTTTTCCCCGTTCCTGATCTAAAAAAAAAAAAGAACCCCTTCGATAATCCCCCAAACACGGGTAGAGTCCTATGTATACACCGACGACAGATCTGACCAATCTAGCAGCTAAATACGCCAATACAAGAGGGAGGGCACTTCCTGATCCTACATCCCACCAAACGCTAAACGTGAGACCACGAATCGCCCAATCGCGCGGCGCAGATCGATCCGAATCGAAAATCTACCCAATCCAAACGAAGGCCACAGATCCGAACAAGAACAACAACGGGCGCGTTCAACGCGAGAACCCAATCCCAAACGCCGCATGGCTACTGGGGCTAGGGGGGAGAGAGAGGATGGGGGTTACCTGAGCTGCGGCGAGCCATGGCGGTCGGCGGCGGAGGAGAAGACGAAACCCTAGATGGCGGCGCGGCGAGGAGGGGAGCGAGCGAATGAAGAGGGCAGCAACGGGTCGGGAGGTTGAACGGCAGCCACGCCTAGGGTTAGGCTTTTATAGCCGCGAGTCCGGATTTTTTTTTCTTTTTTTTTTACCCGTTCTTGCTCTCTCTCTCTCTCTCTCTCCAACCTCCCACCTTCTTGCAAGACACGCCAAGCTGACATGTGGGGCCAGAAATCTGCGGTGACATGTGGGGCCATTACTTGTGGGGTCCACATGTCGGCGGCACGCAAGCTGGCTGGGAGCCTTTGACCGTTGGAGGGGATATGCTCGGAACACTCTGGATTCCTCCAGATGACCGGAAGCAGCACGAAGCCGTGAACGGCTACGTTTTCATTTTTCGTGCTCCCGTGATGATAAGGTGAAAAATGATTCGTGATTCTTCCGATTTGTACAAAATGAATTGAGCAATTTAGTCAAAAATATTAAGCTCAAATTAGCATGCATTTATAAATGCCAGATGAAATATCTCTAATTAATAATCTTCTAGAAATCTCAAACTAATATCCATATTAAGGTTTGGTCCAACCAGCTAGATCCCACACACACAACCAAACGCATGTTGCAATTGCACACACCATTGGCATTGAAAACAAAAGAGTATGCTGCAAAACATCAGGAAAATATGCTATTAATCCATGCCAAATGCTCACACAAAAATTGATTCGACTTGCAGTTGTAATCCCCTAGACGAGGGTGTTTAATTGTACAACTCGCAGTGGCTCCATGTATAAAATCTCAATCCCCTGGCCTATAACCAAAGTGGCTGAGGAGACCATTGTACAGTTTTGCGTTGGCTTCATCATGTATTGGTAACTACTGCTACTATGGTTTCACTTGAACATGGAAATGTCGAAGATGAGGGCAGAGCCATCCGTGGACACGGAGACGATGGAGTTGCCATCAGCAGAGACGGCGAGGGACTGCACGACGTCACCGTGGCCGGCGAAGGCCCTCACGCACTCCCCGGAGAGGCTGTCCCAGATTCGCACCATGCCGTCGATGCACCCCGACGCCACGAACCTGGACGGGCCCAGCCATGCCAGGGATGTCACCCCCTCCTGTTTGTTGTCCATCACACAGGCAGAACAGATATACTGTTTGAGTGCATATCTAAGAAATGGAAGTGACGGTTTTTGGCGCAGGCAGAATCTAAGAAATGGGCGACGGTTTTTGGCGCTTACATCGTGGTTGCAAGTGCATCGGATCGATTGGCGACCAAGGTCCCAGATGATGAGCTTCTGATCCATGCTCCCTGTAGCCACCCAATTGTAACTGCAGAAAATACTCCAGGTCAATGTGAGAAATGTGCGGTGTTCACGTGTTTACCATACTGCTACTCTATGGATCCAGTACCTTGGTGAGATGCCGACACACTCAATAGAGCCAGTGTGGCCGTCCAGTGAGCCAACAACCTGCAAAACGACAGCGATGATGATGGTACCAAAATGCCAGACTGCATACATTTTCAAACAAAACAAGAAAAAATTCCAGCCTATGTACCAACTTACATGATAAAGACACACTAGCTTGAGTCATAAGAACACTTACCTGGCCTGAGTTTATGTTCACAACACACACAGAATTATCCTTTGAACCACTAACAATTGTTTGGGAATCCGAAGTAACTGATAAGCATGTTAATCCATCCGTATGATAGCCATGGCCTGGAGACAAAAAAGATCAGAATTTGATGTTCACGACTGATTGAGTATATATGAATTCAATCATATGGTAATTTACCTCGAACAACATGTCTGCTTTGTGCAGTTCTTGGGTCCCATATTCTCAATGATGCATCATCTGATCCAGTACAGATAAGTTTACCTTCAGAAGAAGGTATGTGCATTAGCAAACAATATTTTCGTTCAAAAACTATGTTGCCACTGTAGAACTTCTATGTGGACAGCTAAATAAAGATGGTAGGAGAAAATTTCCATGCTAAAGCATCCCAAACAACTTGTTTACTCAGGGTTAACTAACAAAATTAACATAAGCAAATTGTTATTGATCAAGGAAATATATTGGTACCATCTGGAGTAAAATCACCACATGTCACTGTGCTACTATGGCCAGCAAAGGTATTCAGAATGGCATTATGGTCAGCATTCCACATCCACAAATTACAATCTTCTGATCCTGCAATTATCAAATGCCCTCGTGGATGCCATTTAAGCCACTACAATACCAAAGACATACAGTTACACCACAGGACTAATCATGAAGTATTCATATATTTTGGGAGAGGAAACAAGAGTTTGTCAGCGGCAATAAGTTCAACTAACAAATGAAATGGAACAGAATCATCTCACCTCGAAGCCAGATCCAGAACCCTCAAGGGTTCCCTGAAGTGTTCGTGTAGCTGTATTCCACACATTTATGCGTCCATCAAAACTTCCAGAAGCCAAAAGATTCCCATCTGAACTGAAAGCAACCGTGCAGACAGTATCTGTGTGCCCTGTATTGCGAAGCTATTGCATAAGTTCAATAAAATAATTCCGAGTATCAACACTCTGTGATAATAATGATTATGTGATGACTAATTACAACAATAATGTGCATGCAGAAAAAAAAGAAATCCATGGGCCATAGGAAATCTCAAAATTCTTTGATACAAAGTATCGAGCACAGAAAGCTTCTGGGTTCCATTGCTGATATGCATGATAAGAGAGAGTAATTTAACACAAAATGGTTAATAAAAAAATGAGTAAATGATTTGTCTGCATAAGATCAATATATAACAATTGAAATGCTAATATGTTGATTTAGAGACTACAGGCAGTATACCAAAACATTCCATTAACATAAATGAATACATCAACTTAATAAATAAAAGAAATGGAAGTGAAAGCATATACCTGAGAGTTAATATTTTTTAAAGGTGGAAAGGAACAGAGATGTTCCCATGAATATTTTAGACACAGCAAATTAACACTGTAATAGTAATTAATAACTAAATCATACCGGCCAGCTCCAAAACATCCTCTGCTGATCCAATCTTCCACAGGAATCCTCTATCGTCTTTCCCTCCAGAAGCCACAAGTGATGCATCTGTAGGACTGCATGCCACAGCGAATATCTCGTCTGTGTAGAACAAGAACAGGAAGTATCAGAATATGTATAACAAAATCTGCATGGATAAGTATAACTGGAGACTGGAGTACAAAAAAAAGGAGCAATTGCTGCCTGAGTTATGGATGGTGTGGCTCAGAGAACAGTGCATCAAAGTTACACCAATCAAGTACTATATTGACCAATGATCAGCACCAAAAAAATCATAAATTCATTCTTTTCAACCAACTTGCCTGTATGAGCACGAAATGCATATTGGGAATCATCCTCTTGCATATCACCTGAAATTGAAAGGATAGATAATTACAAACCAAATTTCACAAATCACAAGTAAGACAGTTCAGAATAGTTAAATGCTTAGCATGTAAATGAGCAACTGAAGAACAGATTGCAACTAAAATTCTAGAAAAGAGAATGTTCCTCTAGGATCTGACAGGACAGCTGTAGAAACATAAATACACAACCATTGCAGTTTTCTTTATAAATCAAATTAAGGCTGGACAAAATATGTCCAACTGTCATATTTCTCACAATTGTTCCATCTTTTTTAGGACGCAATAATATTTTCATTTGCAAGTTAGATAAAGAAAGCAGTTAGCCGATTGCTAAATCATCTAAATGCAGTTGCACCAAACGAGATTACCATAATGCACCTGAATGCCAAATGGAGCATAAGATAAACAGTAAAACAGGCAAAAAGCATAATACTAAAACAGAAGTGCACTCAAAATAAGTTTTCCGGATACTAATAAAACAGAAGTGCACTCAAGAGAAGTGATCCAGATTGTAGCTTTGCTTAAGAGAACCACCAAGACACCAACATCAACAAAGCAAATGTCAAACTACGCCCCATGTAACTCCAACAATTATATAGGCAGTATAACAGCATAATAGTAACACAGAAATGCATCCAAAATAAGTGTTCCAGCTTATGTAGCCCCCAATCTATTGCCCATGATTGTAATTCTGCTTAAGAGTCGAACTCATGATATTCTACAGAATTCCAACAGTATTGGAGAGGAAAATGTTATATTCTACAAAGCATATTGAGCCTTAGCATGCAACATACCCATCCCATCGTCATCCTCATCATCATCCCGGTCAGGGAGATCTGAAAAACACAACCAATAATAGTAAGCACCAAGCAAAGCAGAAAACAGATAGATGGATAGTACTACTACTAGTAGTAATACAAACCTTCCTCGTCGATGGGTATCTCGTGTATGATGTCCTCCTCATTGATGAACACCTCCTCTCCATCAGAGCCTTCGCCGGCGGGGACCTCGCCCGAGATGCTCATCGTGACTTCACCTGAGTTGGGGGCGACTCCTCGGCCGCAAGAAACGAGAGGGGAGAAGGGAGGAGGAGGAGCGGCGCCTGTGTCGGCGGAGGTGTGCCCGCGCCGCCGCGATGCTTGCCTGCGACGAGCCGGGCTGGGGCAGACTAGGGTTCTGGACTTCTCGGCTTCTCCCGCCTAGTGTCACTCGTGTAGTAGGATGGCAATGGGGCGGGTCGGGGCCGGGTTGGTCTGGAACGGCCCCGCCCCCGGCCCAGGAGTGGAGGGCGGGTCGAAATCGATCCCCGGCCCCGGCCCCTCCGGGGCCCCGCTGCACCCGCAGGTGAGGACGCTTGGAGGAGGCGGCGCGGCGACGGGCAGAGGCGGAGCGGAGACGGCGGCGACGAGCGGAGGCGGAGCGGAGACGGTGCGGCGACGGGTCGAGGCGGAGCGAAGATGGCGGCGGCGCGGCGACGAGCGGAGGCGGCGATGGGCCTTGGGCTTTGATCCGTGGGCTGTGGGTAGGTTTTCCCCCATAGGCCCAATCCCACGAGAAGATGGAACATCAAAAGGTAAAAAAAAAAGCCGTGGCAAACCCGTAATTATTCGCAGGAAGCATCACTTCGCCGCAAGACGGCGGCGACCACCGCTCCTCGGCTGGAGGGAGCCCTCGTCGCCGGCGAAGCCCGCGCGGCCACCTCCCCTGCCGGAGTTGGCCATGGTGAGCTCCACCTCTCTCTCTGCGTGTGGCTGCGCGCCTCGCTCCATGTTCCGGTCGGCTTATTCCTTACTCGCTTCCTCTCTCTCGCGCGCGCGTCTCCGCGGCGCTCGCAGTTCTCCATCGCGGCCATCAACGAGAGCGACACCGGCGGGCAGTGGGAGCCGCTCGCGCCTACCAAGGAAGCTCAGGCAAGTCTCCTCCCCCCTTGTCGCCCCGAGCATTCTCTCTTCCTGCGTATCTATCTAATGCTTCGCCTCCGTAGCTTGTGATTTTGGGCCCCGTTAGGGTTTTCGGTTCTTCGAGCGCAATGTGATGGATTGATTGGTTTTAAGTGGGTAAACGCAGCTTAATGTTGTGGCAAGCAGACTCTAGGAGATGTAGAATTCGATCACCCTGTTCTTTGATGTGATGTGATGTAAGGTACCATGTGTTCTTTAGCTTGTGTTTTCGACAATTTGGGAGCTTGAAGTGGGGTTTTTACTATCTATGGTTTCTTCCGATTCTGCGACTTGCGAATTCAAAATAACTGTTTTTTGTTCCTTTGATTTGATGTTTGCTTATCCCCTAATAAAAGGATAATGTAAGATTTCGGTTTTCATTATCGGTTGTAGGTGTAGGAGGGCACTCAGGTTAGACCTTTCAGGTTAAGGGGCAGTATTCTTGATGTTGAGCTATACATGCTCAATTGCTCATGATGTAGACGAATGCGTGATAGCATAGTACTACATTTTTTTTCCAAAAAATAAAATTGTTAGGAGGTTAAGGTCGTTTTGAAAGCTAGCTGTTGGTAAAGATTTTGGTGTCATCTTTAGTTATGCTAGGAACCGATTTAATTGAAATACGGAATAAATATCTTCTAAACTGCTTTACGAGAATCGGAAGATTAACACAGACAATTATTATAAGTAAATAACTTTGGGATGGAAATTTTTAGGATTACTAGCTAATTACCAATCCTCCTTGACATATTTTGAATTAACATAAGTTATAAACTTTATGAAAAGTTGTATATGTTTCTCAGAAGGAAAACACGTATATCTATATCATGTGCCTAGATTATCTATTATCTAGAAAACATCTCACCAACTCAATCCATAGGAGCCTTTTGATTTAGATGTTCTAATGCTCCTTCTCTATTCGGAAGGAGAGATATGCCCCCCCCCCCAACCCAAAAAAGAAAAAAAAAACCCTGAACTAAACTTGGTTTGGTGCAAGTCTTTTTCATTTTTAATTAAATGGTTAAGAAGGATATCTCAGGGAAATTCCAAGTTATTATTGTTAATAGCCCTTTATTGAACATGCTGCCATCTGATTATATATGTGGAACTTTGTTTAGTTAGAGGCATGATCATAAAAAGGTGCTCCAACGGAACAAAAGGGAATCTTCCAGGGGCAGATTTCTACTTTATTTTACTCTTTTTTAATCCTTGAATAACATTGGTTCTATTATGTAAACATTAATTTAGGATGATTCATTGACCACTCTGATTGTCTTGATGTTGCTCTGCTGGTCCTGGATTACAATGGAATGCATGTATTAATTTATAGTTTGATAGGTAATATACTTGTTCATCTGCCCTTTTATTGATGTGTTGATGTGTTGGGATTTGGGATTGGGGATGGTGTTCTCTGTGCTGGATTTTTATGGACGGATACATGATTGGTAATTTAATGCATTATGTATACATATCTACTCCCTCCTTCCACAAAAGTTAGACCTGTTACTTTTTTCACCAAGACCAAGAGAAATTAACTCATTTGCATGTAACAAAGATCAAGGAGTATATGCACGCATGCAACCAATGAACATTAAGATGGCTCATCGGGTTCTGATTAAACATCAAATTTACCTCTCCGTTTAAGTCTTGGATGCATAGAGACTATAAATAGGAACAACTTATTTGGATTTTGGAAAAACTAAAATATGAAATAGGTCGAACTCTTGTGGATGGAGAGAGTTCTGGCTGGTACACATTTTTATTTAATTTTAGATTTGAAGATAATTATTTCGGTATCTTTAAAATTAGAATATGTGATCTGTATTGTTTCGAGAATTGTTGCGATGCACAGTCAGTCAGTCACTGTGCTAGTACTTCCTCCATATCAATATAAGGACTTTTAGAGTTGGGCACAGTTATTAAGGAGAAATGTAAAATAAAATGGATGGTTGTGATTGGTTCAGATGAGGAAGTAGGTGGAGAAATTAAATGGGAGATGGTTGTGATTGGTTGAGAGGTGGAAAGGTAGCTATATTTTGGGACAAATTTTGAATGCTAAATGTGCTATGTTTTGGGACGGAGGGAGTATATCATAATATACCAGTTCTGATGTAGTTTTACCTGCACCAACTAGATGTGCGTGGCTATCATATCATGTCTGTCCAAGGAATTGATTCTGCCAGTCTTGTGCAATAGGTAGGTCACTGTAATTGATCTGAGAACACGTTTAGTAGTTAATTAACAGTATTTAACTGAAGGATTCTTTTGTAAATCTCTTCCTGTGCTAAGGTCATTTTTTTTAGTTTTACAACTTACAAGCTCTCAATTTTGTTGCCGCAATATTACTGTGTTATTGAAATTACTTTTCAAAATGCTTCAGGAATCAGCACTCTCTCAGAAGTACCACGAGGGGCTCCTCAAGTTGCAAGAAAAAAATTATGTAAAAGCTCGTGAACTTCTGGAGGATGTCTTAAAGGACCCACTAATATCAAAAATTCAGGCAATCTCTATAAGAACATTTCAGATATCAGTTTGTTTAGACCTGTGCTCTCTATAACACCAAGTTGTTTATTTTAAACAGGCTGATAACATTGTCAGTGATCAGCATTTGCTGCAGCTAAGGTTCTTTTCTCCATACCTCATTTGTAATGTTCATGATGTAATTCCATTTTTATTTGTTGGTTAAAATCATTGACATAGCGCGAAGAATTATACCAAGTGGAATAAACACTCATAAAATAATGAAATTTCTTAGAACTACAACAGCTCTTAATTTAAGAAAGATGCATTTGTGTCATGGGGTAACCACACCCCCATCATCTAATTCACCATGTTGCAATGATTCATAAAATTCCAAAAGAGAAACAAACTCATGTGTAGTACACATAAAGTTATACAAGCCTGCAAAAATTCATTCCAGATATCGAGGAACAAAAAAGAGAAGCAATCAATTGGAACTATTCATCATGTGCTAGCATTACAACTTCTCTTTTTTGGATCTCAGCTCTCTTTTTTGGATCTCAACTTGTAGGATGAATCTGTCATTAAATTTGTGCAGATTTATAAACATTATGTTTATATTAATTTGTGAAGCATAGGAATGTGTTGGATTCAACATATATTTGCCGTGGAGATGGTCGTTCCTTAGGACACCATATTTTTTAGAACCATATTTTTTGGTGGGACAATTCTCTCTCATATAAGGAAGCATAATTTGAGTGACGAGTTGCAATGGCACTGCTTGTATACTACTCCCTCCGTCCCTAAATATAAGGGATTTTGGTGGGATGTGACACATCCTAGTACAACGAATCTGGACAAATTACTGTCCAGATTCGTTGTACTAGGATGTGTCACATCCCACCAAAATCCCTTATATTTAGGGACGGAGGGAGTATTATAACTAAAAAGTAAGATATTGATAATATATCACAAGAACGTAAATATACATTACTATTACATTGCATACAGTATGCAATGAGGATAAAAAAAGAACTTGGGATACAAATGACTCAGATTGAATTGCAAGCATCAACTAAATCAATTCTATGCTGAATTGCAACAAGCAGAACCTTTCAACCACATCCCATCCCAATTTACCCCAATCTGATTAATCATGGTTTTGGTTTGATCATGTTTTGTGGATAGATCTCTTCTTTTAAGTAGCTAATATCATATGGATGATATAATATAATCATAGGCAACTGTTTGTGTGTCACGATTTCTTGAAGGTTGTGCTATACTACACATGTGCATAATTGGGTGTGTTGACTCTTCAATCAGATATAACTGACTAAATTTCAATGGCTGATAGGTTTGAAATCTGCAACATTAATTTTTAACGTGAGGCTTCTTAATTTCACAGGTTTCTTACATTGAAAAACCTTGCGTCTGTTTTTCTTCAACAAGGGTCAGCATTTTATGATAATGCTCTTCGTTGTTACCTACAAGCTGTAGAGCTTGATGCAAATGATTCAGTTGTATGGAACCATCTGGGAACACTTTCCTGCTCTATGGGTTTGTTGAGCACATCAAGATGGGCATTTGAGCAAGGGCTTCTATGTAGCCCAAATAATTGTATGATGTCTTTTTTCATTATTCCCTTCTAGTTTATTCCCACTGCCTTTTAGTTCATCTATTGTTCCTAAAATCCATGATTTTTTTCTGGTTTTCAGGGAACTGCATGGAGAAACTCTTGGAGGTGCTTATAGCTATCTGTGATGAAGTTGCATGCCTTTCTGTAGCAAAGTTAATACTTAGGAGTTGGCCATCACATCATCGGGCTTTACATGTAAAGAAGACCATTGAGGATGCAGAACCAGTACCCTTTGCACCTCGAGGTATCGACATACTTGAACCCAAGCATGCAAAACTCAAATTTTGTAACAAAAGAAAATCTGGAGATGATGAAACGCATCATGAAACAGTGACAAAGAAGAGTAGGCAGAATGCTAAATTGCAGTTGACTGAAGCCAAATGGATGGCCCTTTTAGATGGTATCCTAAGCTTCTTAAGTTCAAACAACACAAAATCTAATGAAGATCACGGTGCCAATACAGAGAGTCAATGTGATACTAAGAGGAGTATCAATGGGTTTGCTTATAACATGATGGATGTCTCCTTATCTACGGAAACATTGAAAACTATGGAATCTGCAGGTGGGAATGAACATGATTTGTACCATGATGGTGAAAGTGTGCTGTCTCATGACTGCAGAACTGCAGTTAAAGAGAAGGACACCAATTCAGATAGAGAACATCCTCATGAAAGGAGAAGCACACGTCTTGAGAGGCTGCGAAGTCGTAAATCTGGTAAAGATGAACATGAATCCAATGGAAAAGATATATCACATGCTATAACTCAATTTCTAGATTCATTTATCTTGAAGCGCACAAGTATTCCAGAAAAGATCGATTGTTCTGGAAATGGTGATGCTTCTACCCCTGAAGCTCTAACATATACACCTGATCGTGAGGCAAGTGATGTGAAGCAATTTCTTTCCAAAATATCAAAAAATTGTGGACCTCTTCATATTGGCTATATGTTACTTGAGGAAATAGCTCAGACCAACATACCTTTTCAAGATTACTTTGTTAAGTTCATTGAACTAGACAAAATTACTAGAGGCTGGGCTCAAGATAGATCTGCACAATGCAGCTTATTTCTTGCTGAATTATACTATGATCAAGCTCTTTGTTCTGGAAGCCCATTAGCATCCTCAGAGTTGTCCAATTCATCTTACCATCTTTGTAAGGTCATCCAATCAGTAGCTTTGGAATTGCCATTCAGAACCTCTGATGGAGCAGCAAAGTCCACCAATTTGGATTTGAATATGGAAAGCCATATGGAAGAGGTGTGTTCAAGCGATAAAACTGAGAAGAATGCCTCAAATATGTCCAGAAACTCTGTAAATTCTGTCAACTCGGTTTCCAGTAACATTCTTTGTGATGAAACATCTGAATGTGATTCTTCTTCAAACACTAATTGTGTTTTCTGGATTCGCTTCTTCTGGCTGAGTGGTTGTCTGTCCCTTTCATCAGACTGCAAAGAAAAAGCTTACAAGGAGTTCAACATTGCCCTGTCACTTATGAGAAGTAGCAACGAAGCCAAAATCAATAGAGAGTTTGTCCTTCTACCTCACAATAAGCTTGTAAAATTGCTTACAGCTGATAGGATTCTTCGTGAAATTAACTTGGTCAAGCTTGAATCTTTACTTTGGCATAATGATGAAAACATCAATAAAATAACTCATACAGAGTTCATGGAATTGCTTCCTCCACTTTTGCTTTCCACCAAAGATGTCTATGTTGGCAGTGCATATGGTCCACCAAGAGAAAGTGAGAAAGTTATTTCACTAGAGTTAGGTGCCTTGGATGTTTTAATATCAGCATGTGAAAATGCTAAACCAATGAACATCCAGGTATACCTTGACTCTCATCGAAGGAAAATGCAAGTTCTAACTGTGGCAGCTGGCATGGTTGGATCGGTTACCACCAATGAGGGGAAAAAATCAAGTGATATAGAGTTTATGGAAACAATGAATAGGAATCGACTGGAAAGTGTTGTAGAAGCAGTCAAAGATGTTTCTCGAAATGCTAGTAAAGCGAAAGCCTTTGTTGATCAGTGTGATAACCCTGTAAGTTGACTGTTCTATTTTCTGTGGATTTTCTTGACTGTCATTTTAATTCAAGTCTTTCATACTTGGAACGCTATCTACCAAGCTTCACTTTTATATTATAGGTCAATGCACAACACTGCACCAGACTAAAAGAATATTAGAAACAAGGTATAAAGGAAGAAGTATGTGTGGAGCTAAATGATAATTTCATAAAATTCCGTAGGTCTATATAAGTTGGTGAAGCTGCATAGAACAGTGGAGGAGGAGGAAGGGAGGAAACTTAAATATTCTTATTTTATTTATTTTGTGGAGAATAGGCAGGAGAACTGTGTATCATTGCGGTTAGAAGTGAGCTAGGCTCAAGTATAGGGACACACCGCTAAGCTACCAGAGAGAAAAATGCACACAAAAAAGAAGCTAGGTATACAATTTAAGAATTGGTATATTGGTGACTGCCAAACTTTTTTTTACTTTGACCATTTACTCATTAGAAATATTTGTATTGCATGCTCATTGAGTGCTGTGAAAAATAACCTCTATCTATGATTTTAGGCTTTTAGTAACATATGGTAATAAATAAGTATCTTGCAGACAGTATAAAGGAAATTTTCATGTTTATTTTTTGAACAAAGGAATAGATAATACTATGAATACCATAAATGATCACAGGGAATTACAATATGTAGAATTGTATAGCATGTCAGAGGTAAATCTTTTGAGCTTCTCTGGAACATCAACTCGCCCCCGAGCTATCTAATATACAATTTAACCCTTAAGGATGGTTGTTAGGGTAAAGGTTATGCTGTGCATTCTAGGATGGTTTGTACTGTCCTTCCTGACTGTTTACTGCTTTATGTGGAAGTTGTTTATCAATGGTGTGTTCCAGTTTAGCTTAACACTAATGCTATCCAGCATGAGTGAAATTAGTATATGAGCAATTGTAAGACGCCCATTATTCTGAGATTTTTCAATTTCATATTTGTTTCTATATTGCCTGTATCAGTTTCTTTAATCTATCAGGCTGAATATCTATATTTCTAACAATCTCGGGGATATTATTATTGATTAATTCCTCAAAGAGGGCTACTGAAACGACTGTTTTATTGTCATATTTGCAGGATGGGCAAGACGGTTTCAGTTCACTAGTTTCTATTGTTGGTGATTTTCAATCATTGCTCCTCACAATCATGTGTGCTGCTGTTAAGATGATCCTATCCAGAAAACACTCGTGTACTGGAACCTCCTATCAGGCTGACCAGTTGGAGAGTTCCTGCCTTGTTGATGCAGCCATCGCATTTTGCAAACTTCAGCATCTTGATCCTATGATATCTATCAAAATTCAGGCACGTTCTGCGCACCACTTTACCAAAAAACTCTCTAGTATTGATTTTCATGATTAACTTTAGTTGCTTTTGTTCACATATGATTCTTTGCAGGTTGACTTGATTGTGGCAGTGCATGATTTGCTTGCTGAATATGGGCTCTGCTGTGCTGGGCGTGATGGTGAAGGGGAGGAAGGGACATTCCTCAAGTTCACTATCAAGCATCTCATGGCACTAGATGTGAAACTAAAATCCCAACTTAGTAGGTGTTTCCTAGCAAATTTATTATGGTATCATGTTTCTGTCCCAATTAATTACTAGAATTTGTTTATTATCTCTATCTTATTGTTAGATCCAAATGGGATGGAAGAAGATGCAGCAGAAAATGACAGAGCAGAAGATGTTACGACTGATGAGGCATCTGTTTGTGACAATAAACATAATTCTGAGGATGAGGAAGAATCTGGTAGGCCATATTCATTGCGTGTAACTATTCCATTTTCCTATATATCTTGTGGTAGACATGATGTACAATGACAGACAATACTGTCTGATTATGTCGCATGCATATTGACTTACTGACACGTAAATGCCTGGTGATATAGTCAAATTAGAATCCGACAAATGATTGAATAAGGTTTCTGTTACCGACTTACCATTGACCCTGAAATTCTCTGTTTTTGCAGAATTGGATGAAATACAGTCAAGCATTGACAGTGCCTTGGACCAGGCCTTTTTCTGCTTATATGGTTTGAAGATAAACCCTGATTCTTGCAGTGAAGATGATTTAGCAGTACACAAAAATACAAGCCGTGGTGATTATCAGACAAAAGAACAATGTGCTGATGTGTTTCAATATGTCCTGCCATATGCAAAAGCTCTATCTGTGAGTAAATTCATATTGAGTTCCTTCATTTTGTTGTTTCAGTTTGGTAAGAAGCATCAATTGCAGCGCATAGTGCCTTGGTCATTCTTTATTCATTTTCTTCAGAAAACTGGCTTGGTTAAATTACGAAGAGTGCTGCGAGCTATACGTAAACACTTTCCACAGCCACCTTATGACTTATTGGTCAATAATCCTCTTGACAATTTCTTGGATGGACCTGATTCATGCGAAAAGATTCTCTCTGAAATTTACGAAACTAATGGATCTAAGGAAGCTGTCCTGAATGTACTGTTCCCAGGTGAAAATGGCTACGAAGCATTCAAGAAACTGTCCAATGCTAGGTTGGCTTTGTGCATTGTACCTATAGTCCCTCCTCTCCTTTTATTTTTCTTTTGCACTGGAACAAGTTTAGTTGTGGATATACCCTAAGTACATTTTTGACTGATTGCTGCAGCTCAGAGCCATACTCAGAAGTTTATGGGAACCTGTATCACTACATAGCGCAAGTTGAAGATATAAGTGCCTCTGACAAGTATACAGGTTTTGTGTTAAAAAAAGAAGGGGGTGAATTTGTTCAACAGAGTGCTAACCTTTTCAAGTACGATCTACTGTATAACCCATTGCGGTTCGAAAGCTGGCAGAAGCTTGCTAATCTGTATGATGAGGTATGTTTATTTGGTTACAGCAGTTGATTGAACCTGTTCCATTGTATCATGCATTTCTGTTGCATAACAAGTTTTTGTCTTGTTCAAAAACAGGAGGTTGACTTGTTGCTGAACGATGGTAGTAAACATATTAGCATTTTGGACTGGCGAACAAATACAACTTTAATCCAAAGAGTTGAGATGGGTCGTAGACATAGTCGACGCTGCCTATTGATGAGTTTAGCATTGGCTAAAACCGCTTCTGATAAGGTGTGTCCTCTTGTTCTGTACTCATCTATGAGATGCCTTAGGTGCTATTTTTCTTCTTTCTATCTTGATGAGAACTTCACTAATATTGGCAATGACGTCTAACTCATTTTCTTTCAGGCCCAAATGCATGAAATGTTGGCCCTAGTTTATTATGATAGCCTGCAAAATGTGGTACCCTTTTATGATCAAAGGGCTACTTTGCCAGTGAAGGATTCAACATGGGAGACATTTTGTCGAAATTCTATGAAGCACTTTCAGAAGGCGTTTGAACTGAAGTAATCTTACATACCTTGTTAGTAATCTCATATTCTGTGTGTTGTTTGCCACAAGTAGGATGATAATGCTTATTTCCTTCACAGGGCTGAGTGGCTCTATGCATTTTACCTTGGGAAGTTGTGTGAGAAACTGGGGCATTCCCCTGCTGAAGCATTTTCATACTACAACAAAGCTGTTGTGTTGAATCCAACGGCAGTCGACCCGGTTTACAGGATGCATGCATCACGCATGAAGTTACTTTATACCCAAGGAAAGCAGAATCTGGATGCTATACAGGTTTGTCTAAGATTCATGAATCAGTTTTTGCTTCTTTTTTTTTTCTTTGTAAAAGTGTTACGCACGGTTGGGTTCCTTATTTAATAGTTTGTGTACAGTCTTAACTAGGCTATTGACATGGGCACTGGCCAAGGGCCAAGGAAAGGGTGCAGCCTTAAAGAGGGGCCTGCTCCTCCCTTGGCCTCACTGGTCTAGCTTACTACTAGCAGTTTCTGGTTTTCCCCTCGATTGTGACAGGCTAGTTTATAATAGATATTTTGATATTAACTCTATTGATTTATGTTTTTTAGGTTGTTGCTGATTATACATACAAACAGTCAACCAAGGAAGATGTCTTGAGCATGCTACAGTCCATAAATAATGTCAAGAATTCACCCTCTGATCATAATGATAAATGTGTCCTTGATAGCACAGCGGAGAATAAGTTTGTTGACCCTGATCTACTTGATAAAGTGTGGCACATCCTATATGATGATTGCCTGTGTGCCCTTGGTACTTGTGTGGAAGGTGAGCTGAAGCATTTCCATAAGGCGAGATACAAGCTTGCACAAGGATTGTATAGAAGGGGTGAAGCAGGGGACCTAGAGCGAGCTAAAGAAGAGCTTTCATTTTGTTTCAAATCTACTCGTTCTTCCTTTACGGTGAACATGTGGGAAATTGATGGTTCTGTTAGAAAAGGAAGGTAAAGTTTTTTTGTCCTTGTGTAATGTCGTAATTACCCATTTACAAATGCATGTTGATTTATCCAACCATTACAGCTTACAATATTATTATCTTCCCAAAAAAACTCTGGTTTACCTTCCATTTTCCAGGAGGAAAAATCCAAATATTGGTGGATCCAAAAAGAATCTGGAGGTCAGCTTGTCAGAAAGTTCACGGAAATTCATTACATGCATCAGGAAGTACATGATACTTTACTTGAACCTTTTGGAGAAAAACAGGGATTTGTGGACCCTAGAGAGGGCGTACACTTATCTGCGAACTGATAAGAGGGTACCCCCTAATAATCACAACAATGATGTTGAGCTATATTTGTTTTGTGGATATATTATAATAATAAGTCTATTTTTCTTGTAGTTTGCTCTATGCTTGGGCGATATCGTTCCTGTTGGTCTTGGGAAGTACCTTCAAGTTCTAACTTCAGCAATCCGCAATCCTGAGATTCGTAGAGTTTCTGGCGATGCTTCCGTTGAGAACCTACTTGAGAAAATGTTTGGTGTGTTCATGGACCATGCAAACTTATGGGCTGATATAAGCACTATTCCAGAGGTCAATAGTCCCGAGCTATCAGAAAGCAATCTTTACAGGTAATTACTAGATTAGAGTGCAAAATACATAGTTACTCAAGCCAGATGGTTTTCATACTTTATTTCCTTGTGGCAGTTATATCCACCAATACATCCATTTGCTTGAGAGTGATGTCCGACTGGATGTTCTTGAAGGACTAAATGAGAAGATAAGAAAGCGTTTTAAAACACCCAAACTGTCAAACAGCAATTTCGCCAAGATATGCAAGCACGCTTCTCTGGCATGGTGCCGTTGTATTCTCATCAAACTTGCATCCATCACTCCACTGCCTGAATCCATGGAAACAACTGATCAGCCTGCTCCACTATCCAGCGGTCTAGTGCTTTACATCGACTTGCAACCTGATGAGCTTCTCATCTCGTCTCCTGATGGGCCTGCTCAATTCAAAGGCCTCGATATGAACTGGTTTGAGACTTTTAACAGAATTAAGAACATTCCGATCAGGCAAACATCCGAAGATAACATGGAGACTGCTGTTACTGTCATGAAGAGCACCTACAACTTCTATCGGGAGAGCTCTTGCGGAACATTCCCATCGGGTATTAATCTGTACACAGTCACCCCATCGCAGCCACCTGTTGAAGGCCTACAGCAAGCCCCAGACGCAATTGAGAACCTTGACCTCAGTATTCCAAGGAAGCTCCTTCTATGGGTTTATACCTTGGTCCACGGCCGTTACTCCAATATATCAGCCGTTGTAAAGTACTGCGATGAGATGAAGGTATGAACATGATGCCCAGTATTTAACCATATAACCTTCCCCCTTCACCTCAACTAACGCCTACCCGTTCTTGTTGCAGTCAAGAAGTAAAAGAGGAGCCCCGACATCGACAGCGACAGCTTCACAGCAAACCACAGTTTCTCCCCAAGGTATCGCATCAAACTTCCGCCATCTGGGTATCCCTTCTTTCCGTACCCGAAAAAATGCCTAATGCATGTTGTGTGCTTGATGTTATAACAGTTGGCTCCAAAGAGAAGAGCACCCACATTGACCCTAGCGAAGCTCAAGAAGCAGCAGCCCCTACTCCAGCTCCAGCAGCGGCGATTGCTCCTTCCCAGCAAGAGGCAGGTGTTGCAGTTGCAAGCAGCCCTCATGAGGCCCAGAAAACCGCCGCCGCGGCGGCGGCTTCTCAACTCACCCGTAGCAGCTCATCGAGGGCGATGGAGAGCACTGGTCAGGATGGCGGTAGAGGAAACGACGGCACGGCTTAGCTTTGCCCCATGTCTACTGGCTGCTAGTAGGCTAATTTCTGCAGTGTGTGTGTGTGTGTGTGTGTCCATGTGAATATGTGTGACCTGTGTGGCTGTGTGACTGACCCCCTCCTAATGTTGATGTCTCACAACGCTGATGATTACCGTCGCAGGAAAATATGCTGTACAGTTATTGAAAACCTGTAACAGACAGTAGTGGCATGCTTATTGTCACTCAATTTACCTACCAAGATATAGGTGGAAACATAGGTCAAGTGCGAATAGGTTCACAACCTGGAATGTTGTTCTTACCCATGGTGTACTCGGTACTCCTTACCCATTAGTGCTATGTAAAGCTGCGCTCATAAAACTGAGTAGTTTTTTTTCCCCGTAGGTGACTTGATAACACTGAGCATTAACGATGATAAATTAGCATACCCATGGCTCAATTGCACCCAAAGAAATTCAGAAAAAAAAGCAACTACAAAAAGAAGAAAAAAAAACGGTACAGTACAACCCCATTAAACGGGCTGGCCCATCATTAGGCAGCAAAGCTTATTGGGCCGGTCCTTGGATAAACTCCAATCGCACCTAAGCACACCGAGGTCGCCGCAGAGGCAGCAGCCGTCAGCCACCACCCACCGCGACCGAGGAAGAAGAAGAGAGGAGATCAGGAGGAGGGGAAGAGGAAGTAGGGATGGGTTTCGTGATGGAGTTCGCGGAGAACCTGATCCTGCGGATGATGGAGGACCCGGGGAAGCGGGACGCGGCGCAGCGGGAGCACGTGTACCGGATGAAGGAGCGGTGCGAGCGCACCAAGGCGGCGTGGAGCCTCCCGCTCCGCCCCTACGGCTTCTGGACCTTCGACCGCTTCAACTCCCAGCTCTCCTGGGATCCCCAGATCAGCCACGCCCCCGGCCGCCGCGACCCCTACGACGACGTCCTCCACCGCCACTCCAACCCACCCCCCTCCTCCTCCTGATCCCCCGATTCGATCCGGAATAGGTAACTTGCCCCTCGATTTGCTTCTTGGATTTCTAGGTTTAGTTGTTCGTTGCTCGATTCCCCTCTTGGGGAGGTCCAATTAAGCGATTAGGGCTCGTTTAGAGGGTTTAAAATGTCTTAGCTGTTCGTTGCTCGATTCCCCTTTTTGGGGAACTCCAAAGTTAAGCTTGCTTGTCGAACATTCAATGTTCATTGCATTCGGATAGTTTGTATATGTTCCATTAGGTTAGGCTTGGTCACCTGTGAGTTGCTAAGCTTGAGGTGTTCACTGAACTAATTTCCAATCTGACTGCACTATTTCCAATCTGACATCACCAACAGCCACTCAAAATTCAATCCCCTAAATCATTTTTTTTAGATCTCTAAAAAGGATTTAAGGTATGAGTATAGCTGTATCTCCAAGAGATTCCAAAAATTTAATCCCCAAAACAAAAAAAGTGGGCCACATCGACAACTACCAACAGAATGGTCATTCCTCTCCTCCACTCACGCTCGCACACATTGCATCTTCCTCCCGGCTCCTTTCAGGACATTCAGTGATCAATCTCTTTGACATCATTACTGACAGTTGAAGCATTGAACAATGTTTCTATTGGCCTCAGCTACCATCTGAGTATTTGTCCCAAAATGATATTTCACTTGATTATTACCACGATCTCCTGTATTTTACATGGAAAAAATATTGGTTCTGCAATCATCAACAGTGGGGGTGTCAGCCCAGAAAAAAAATCAGCTTTTTTAGTGTGAATGGTGTTAATTAACAACATGAAGTTTTCAGCAGCAAACAACAAGATATTTCAGCAGCTGCAACAGTACTTTTCAGTACTAGCAAGCAGCAGTTTTTAGCGGCAAAGAACAACAGTTTTCATCAGCCAGCAAACAACAAATTTCCATTACCAGCACCAAGCAGTTCTCAGCAACAGCAAGCTCAAAATTTGAGCAGCAGCAACGATCAGTTTTCAGCTATCAGCAATAGCAAGCTAACGAACAGCCATGTTCCATCATTGAATTGCAACAAAAAAGCACTGACCAACAGCACTTAATCATCCAAGGTCGAAAATATATTGTGGAGAATGGAGGAAACAATTATCTTATTAAGGAGAAGAATAAATATTTGAATGCCTAGAGCAAGTTTGAGCAATACTCCAAATAGTTTGGGATCATTGACCTGCACCGCTGAACGAGTCGATGGTAAATTGTTTTGACGGACGAACTCCTCTTCATCTGGGCATCACCGCCCAGAGACCAATGAAATCGACTCCGACCGAGGTGCACGATGATTCGATGAAGGCCAGCGACTGGGCACCTCCGGCTGTCGCCGGCTGGTCGCATGGGGCCTTTGTCTCCTGCACATTACCAGAGGGCGCCGGGTGGCCGGGAGCCTGAGACAGTGCAGCGCCAGTCTGACACGAGGGACAGGCTGTGTTGCGGGACGCGGTAGGGTCGAGGGACGATTGGAGATGAATCGGGGCGACGGCCGAATCGATTCGGTGGTGGTTCTGGTGGGAGTGCCGACGAAGGTCTGCCCAATTGGGGTGGAGATGGGTCCGGCGCCGCCACTGAGAAAAAATGTCGATGCTGTGAAAGCTTGGGGGAGCCATGGCTGCTTTCCAGACATCTGCGGGGAAGATGAGGCTGCTGGCATGATGGATTGACTCACAGGCGGACGAACGCACAAAGAAAAACCTGGTAGGAAAATTTTTACCCAGCACGCGCGAAGTGCATGCTATCGAAGGATTGGGCGCCGAGTCTCTTCCCTACAAGTCGAGAACGAAATATACGGGTTTGGAAACGCCAAGCTTTTAGGGGTGATTTAGGTATACTGTTGGAGCGATTTTTTCCTGCAAAACTCCTCAAAACTGGTATTGGGAAGAGTATTGGGAAACTGTTGGCCATGCTCTAATACATGGTTGATTGAATAGATTCGGGAGATGTCGCCGGAATGTATCGAGTCAAGGACAGGGAAATAATGCTTGTTTGGAACCTGTAGGTTCGTTCAACTATTATCCTGGGAGTAGGTTGTTGACTCATACAGTGCAGATGGATGTCACAGCTCTAGGTTTTCTTTAAAACATGAAGTTGAGTGAGGAAGAAGGTGTGTTAAATACTTAATGGTTTCTTAACTTTGTTTTGGTGTCACATTAAGGAAACAATATTTTTGAATTTGAATCTAGCAACTTGTTAGCTCTTCCAAATTCATAGATGATGCATGACGTGTTGGTAACTATGCCTGTATTCCCAAGCGGTGAGACTAAGACTTTAAAATTTTCTAACTACATATATATTTAACAGACTCGGATTTTAAAATTGAGCCTAAAGTAGTTATTATGTTTTCAGTTGACATATCCAAAAAAAAAATCAAATGCTGGAACATATACTCATATAATTGCTGCATATGCTAGAACTGCCAACTTTAGTAATATTTTGTTTATGTTTATTCCTACAATGCTTTTACATAACTTTACCCACCAAATTGTTGGTATCTTCAATAGTATCTTGTTGATGTTTGGATGGAAGCCTTTTTTTTCCAACACTATCAAAATTTCTCTCCTAACTAGTATAAATTTTACCCTGACAAAGTTTCTCGCACTATCAAAGTTTTGTTAGGCTAGTGTGCTTATAGTTTCGCATTATCCTAGTTTTTTATGATTAGTTGGTTGCTGCTATTAACTTATAGACTCCTGTATGTCTTTGATAGTTTGATTTACCTAATTTTAGAGACAGAGTATGTCCATTGGGATTCCTAGTTATGAAAATGTTCGATGGGCCTCTATGGTCTGGATGATAAGAAACAATTATAGTTTGGGCGCTGGAGTCAGTGTCTTACTCTTTTCATGTGTTTACCTCTCATGAATTGTTCAGCTCCCCTAATTTGAAATAATGGGATATTATATAGGTATATTTTACAGCGTATCCATGTTAATGTTGAATGGGGAGTAAGTACCTTGACTGCCTTCATTGCTCTTTTCTTTTATTTTGAACTGTTGGATTATGATATATAAATAGATGCTAGTAAAGTCCATATTAATGCTTGACGGGAATCTGGGGAAGTGCACACTGAGTCTCTCAGACCCACCCTCAGTTCGAGTATGGTTGCTACATTATCAGAAGCTTGCAAACAAAAGAAAACCAAGTTGTTAACTTCAGGCTTATAGATTGCGAGCAAATTATTGCAATATTTTGATTTTCCAATCAACCTACGAAAATTATAGAGTTCTTTGGGTGTTCATTTTCCACTTGATCTAACACATTTGTTGAACATGGCAATAGCCTCATAAATGCAAGTAGTTTGTTCATGGAAAAATGCTATCAGCTCAGCTATTGAAGTTTGTCTTTAGACCCCTGTTGTGGTGTTTAGTATCTCTGTTTATGTTGCCTGATGATAGGATCTTGTAAATTTTATGGTTTTGCAGGTCACCCAGTCATGTGTTGTTACCTACAAAACCTGTAGTCCATTTGTGTTCTTCGTTTATCTTTTACTTGGAGCGTCAGATGATTTGATGGTTTCTTAATTTTCTTTTCTGCAGATGCCGTTCGTGAGGAAGTGTGGTCGCAATAAGAAACCCGTTTCCATCCAAATGACGTCTTTGAAAATTTTATCCTTGAACTACCGTGCTTTGGTCATATGCTTTCTGTTTGGTTAAAAGCTCAGATCCAGAAGGTCTTAGAGAGGCCGTTCTGTATTTCCGTTCTTGATTTTACTGTTCTGTATGGCTGTACCACAGAAGGTTTTAATAATCGCACTGAGGAATTGCTTGCGTCATTAAAATTTGAAAACCATTCCAATTGTTGTGGTATACAAAGCTTGCTAGGGCATTTTCGGTGCAATATTATGATGTGTTCTTTAGCGTGGGTTGGGACGTGGTACGTGAAACGAGTGATGGATTAGCGCACTACTCTCTCCTTCACTCACAAATTGATCATCATATAACCTCATGAATACGGATTTTATTGGAGTGCAATTCATGCATCACAGGAGGAGAATACGTGCATGCTAAGGGTGTACTTGTGCATTATACGTGCATGCTAAGGGTGTACTTGTGCATTATCTTAATCAATGTAAGTATGTATATTGTACAAACATTATATAGAACATTATATAATGATCAATTTGGAATAAAGGGAGTATTAATTAAGTATTAGCTTAAAAATTAAAAAATAGATAAATATGATTTTTTTAAAAGCAATTTTTTTATATGAAAGCTTTGTTAAAATACATGCCGTTTGGAAAGCATGTGTGGGGAAATGAGGGAGTAAAAATTGAAAAGGAGAAAAGAATACACCCTAGAGCCACCGTGTAGGGCATCTATTTGTCAGCGCGTAGTAGATTGAATGCTCTAAGGGCAAGCACAATGTTGGCTGTCGAGTTCACACCCTCCACATTGTTTTAGTGCACCGGAGGGGAATAAGGCAGGCCGACCAAAAAATAAGTCACCTATAATAATCCCCATGACTATTGCGTGGCTCCTTCCCATGACTTCTTCATTTTTTAAAGTGGTATATGAGCTTATTCGATGGGTGCGATCTAGTATAAAAATCTTGGAAAACTCGTGTTCCGATACACAAACTTGTATAGGTGCTTGCTAGGTGTTGGAACTAATTGTCTGGATAAAAAAAAGTTGTAGATAAATTTATGTTGTTTAGCACCAAGATGTGTTTACTACCCCCTCCATTTATAAATGACTAGTGAACTTGCACGTGCAAGGCACATTATCATAATATATATTATTGCCAACTCGCAATGTGAATCGTTGGATGAGAGGATCTGACGGTTAGGAACGTGTGGGTGTACTAAATAGAAAACTGGTGTTTTTTTATATTAATATAGATTGATATAGATGTATGTAAAGTTTTTAACTCTCAATCCGCTTTTTTATCTCTTCGATAATTAACGGGAAATCCCGCCTAAGATGAAAGTAGCCATCAGTGACGGCCACCTTCTTGAAGTTGATCTCCGCCATCAAGAAGCTGAGCCACTTGCTCTTTAGCTCCGGGCAATGGTACCTCTCGGCGTAGGCGCGTAGCCTAGAGTCATCGCCACCGTCTCCACCGACACACTCTCCCACAGCTTCTGTGCACACATCAGCTTCAACCTCTCCAATGCGTACCTGTTCGCCGCCACGAGCAAGCTCTCGAAAAATCCGGTCGTCGTCGACGTTGAGCCGGCACCGCCTCGGTCGGCGACGGCAAGGCGTCCATGTACACGAAGTGTAGTAGAGCTTTGAACGTGGCCGGGTCGATGTTGTGCAGGGTGACGCACGGCATGGTGGACTCCGCCATGGACCCGAGGAGCTCCATCTTGAACACCGGCGAGCGCGCGGCGAGCACGGCGCGGTGTGCATGAAACGTCTCGCTGCCGACGGAGAACAACACGTCCGAGCCGTCGGCACGGTCCGCGATGTCGTCGAGCTGGCCGTTGAGGTTCGACCGCGGGATGGGTATAGTGCCGTCGTCATCACCGGCATATAATATATATTTAAGAAAAGTAAAAATAGGGGGAAACAGTGTGCGCAAGGATATATTCATACACTGACTTGAGAAACATGGCAAGGCTGTGTCCACACGCTGAATTTAGATACATTCCATGTTCACGTTCACAAAATAATCTGGATTTTATAAATACCTAGAAATCCAAATCAATTGTTAAGCATGAACTTGTATAATATGAATTTAGTATGAATTTGTAGAGAATAAATTGTAACCTTAAATGGTAACAGGAGTATATTGTTTACACAACCTGCAAGGGCCAAGGTCAGACACTAAACTCAGACAAACCTTACATCCATTGGTGAATTTGTAAAATTTCAGTACTTGAGCTATAAGAACTCATAACTTTAATTAGCTCGCAGCAAATCAAAACATTGAGCAACATGTAGCTATGGTCATGTAGTTGTCAGAGGGAATATAGAACTGAGAGATCAAGCAATATGTAAGTACAAACATGTGAATATCAAATATTATTCTGACAGGGAAATATGCTTAAGTAATGGTGTCCTCCAAGCTTACAATCGTGATTAACTTGCTCCACTTAAGTCATGCCCATCACCTTGCCTAATGCCATCCACCAAACCTGCAATCCTGATAAAATTGCTCCACTGAAGTCATATGCATCACATTGTGCCTAATTCCATCCTCCAAACCTGTGGTCAGAGGTGCCACCAGGTATATATTAAGGTTGTCTCCTCTTGCAAAGAAGAAAATAAAAGGACTACCTATTAGCAACTTGCGAGCAATGGCAGGATAATCCCAGATCAATGCCGATATAAAAATGAAAATTATGTATGCTGTAGTAGTGCTCGATATAAAAATGAAATTATATATGTTGTAGTAGTTCTAGACTTATAGAGCATCATGGAATGCGTTTTGGTCGCGTCGCATGCCCCTGGGGCAGAGGTTGGGGATATAGCACATCTTCTGCTTCAAAATAAAATATCTTCTTTATCTAAAATAAGGTTTATCTCTTTGGAAAATATATTTCACCAAAAATTACCAAAATTCTATCAATTCACCAACAACTGCTAATTGGGAGCATTTAAGCCTTGCTAATGAAAAGGTACACACTCAAATTCGTAGACCAGAAAAGGAGAGTAGCAATTCCTATTCAGAATCAGTTGTTTGTACCTCTACATACACTAAGCTGAGCTTATCTAATATCTAATAGGTTCATACTATGAAAATATATCCATTTATCCTTGTCTATTCATAGTAAAATAGTAAAAAACCTAAAGTAAAGAAATAATCTTGCATATATGGATATTACCTTTTTTTTTTTTGCCTGTGGAGTACATGAACTCAGATATATCAACCAAAGGCCAATCAATGGCAAATAAAAGAACAAAATCTCCTTGGCCCTCCTCATTGAGCATCTTAAAGCTAAAAGCCATCAAATAAAGGCCGTTCTTCCATTATGCTCACTCCATCCCAGCATATTTGCATATGCTTGTATTAACTGCAGAGACAATTATGGCAGTTTTTTTAGCGTGGCTAGCTATAGAAATCAAATGGTGGATTGCAGTACCACATTAAATCAGAAATTCAGATTTACCTTTTTAGGCTACATAAATAAAATATAAATCTTTCATGTTCTCATGAATAACCAATAAAATCAACCTTTTCAACATTAACCACATCCTTGGGAGTAGTCATAATGTTGTATCCTTCAATTTTTGCACAAATTAGCTTTTTATGCCAAAAGTAAAAAAAGAATGTTTCGTTATAACCAAGGGAGATCGAACCAAAAGAGTCAAAGAATTAGAACATCTAAATACCCAATATACTAATCAGCTCCACACACGCTCTTCCAAAGCACAGGTCCCGCCCGAAATACTTCTGTCTGATTTGTATCACAATTGGGATTCCTCTGAAAGAACATGATCCAAATTTATAACTCTCGTTGATCTGGCATTGCTGTTCCATAATGGACCTCTAGCTTTGTTTTCAATGGCATGTTGCAGAACATATCATGATGTATTTGATAGGTGCATGTACATGCTGTCAAGAAAAAAATCAAGGTCTATTAGAATTAAGTTTTACAATGGGAATAATTATAAGCTTCCATCGAGCCTCTTCTCTATCAGTGATTTGGATTATCTGCACTTAAAAAGATGCATTGTCAGCTTGCCTCAGAAGTTTGAAGGTTTCAAGCGGCTAACTGTCCTGAATCTGAAATATTTCTCCTCAACCAGTGACATAAATAATCTGATCTCCTCATACCCTTTGCTGAATACATTGTATTTGAAACTGGTAATGGAGGATTAGAAGATATGTCTCAGTACATTAGCAGAAAAGTGTCAATAGCACAATCAACATTGGTCACCCAGGAAAACGGTTCATTAATCAAACTGATGAAAAAAAATTGATAGCATCAAAATCTACACTCTGCAATTCGTTACAGTATCCGAGACCACAGGAGAAATCGTCTTTACCTTTACTGGAGGGGAGGACCAGCGGATGGGAAGGGCCCGCAGGGGCGGATCCAACGTGGGTGCAGGGGGGACTCCCCCCTACACCCACAAGACCCATGGATACCCCCGGAGCAACCTCTTTATTTTTTTACCATGAATGATAAACTAAAGGTCCCTAAATGGCTAGAGGTTAAAGAAACTGTGTAATTGAGCCCCCCCCCCCCCCCCCCCAAATTTTTGTTCCTGGATCCGCCCCTGGAAGGGGATCTCGGGTGATGGTGAGGGGATCTCAGGTGACGGTGGGGGATCGTCGACGACCTGTTGAGGCGCGACCTGAAACCGTCTGGCGGCATACCTATGACAGCTTGAGGGCGAGGTGGCGCCGTGGAGAACGGACGGACGGCGTGGCGGCAGCAAGGGAGGAGGGATCGCGGGTGACGACGACGGCGGAGGGGCGGGATGCGGCGCCGAGAGCAAGGGGGTCGTCGCTGTTCTGGCGAGGGCAATGGGAGGCACGATGGAGGCGCGGGCAGTCGGCGGCAGAAGGCGGAGGAGGAGCGTGCGGCGGCGGAAGGTGGAGGAGGAGGCGCGGGCGGTCTGGGGCTTTGGGCGACGGTTTTTTTTTCTTTTTGCGAAGAAAAGGATTCAGAAGCGCTAATCGGTAGTTAATCCGGCGCTAATTGCAAGGTTAATCCTACTTCTAATTTGCATCATTGGATGAGGGGATCTGATGGTTAGGAATAGGTGGGTGTACTAATTGCACTAAACAACTCGTGCTTTTTATATTAGTCTAGATTATCATATTTTTATGTTGTTCAGAAATGATCGGTGTATTTTGGTAAATTGATATTCCCTCTCAGCGTCTTTTCCTTTTCCATTTACCTTTACGAAGTAAATGGATCAGCGCATGCATGCGCATGCAATTGTTTGCGTGTAGTGCCTCATTGTATCCCTTCACCTTCGTGTGCACTATATGACACATCCACTAAAGTGAAGTAATATTTTTCTTTCATCGATACGCTAATTAAATAGAGTATGGGTCGATTTTCTCCTCCTTTGGTCTCAATGCGAACACGATGAATTCTGGAGGGAGGGAGTAATGAAACTGAGTCAGATCCAAGCAGTCCATCCGTTTTGGAGCCGTCTGCTGCACTGAGAAACTGTGATTTTCGGATGCATCGCTCGCTAGTGACCGGTGCACCTCGTACCTGCCAATCTGCCATATATCGTTGGTGGGCGAGTCAACAACTACCTTCCCACTAGTGAGTTGTGATCCCTGGAATCCGGCACAAGACAAATATAGCATAGCGGCGACATACATCATCATCTCCCTCCAACTCCCAAGTCTCCCAACCTCTCTTGCGCGGTGGCAGAGGTAACGACATGCACACCAAGGAATTCATTGACGGGAAACATTGCCTTGCCGGCGACAAGGACCTGGTACGCCAACATTACATTTGGGATCATTTGTTCATTTCGGCATTTCTTTTCTTTGGGGTTGATGTTTCCTGTGGGTGATTTATATATTTGAGAAATCTCTTGATGGGATTCTCGGATGGAACGAGACATCTAGTTTTTTTGGGTCTAAGTTGCATCCCTGATCAAAGAGATCTAGAAATGGATGAAAATTGGGGCAGACAGAATCACACAATACACCAAAAGCTTCAGTTTTCCAATGTGATTTTTTTTTCAACTATGATCTTCTTTGCAATTTACAATACGGTGAAGATTGAAATGAACGACACCGGAGACCCGACACAGATGCGGAAAACCTTTTCCAGACGCTAAGAGGAACACGAGCTTTTCCAATAACAAAGCTCGGGGACCTGACCAGGGAGGGGCATCCGGCCCCTCCCATTACAATATAAATTTGATCCCCCAGAAAAAAAGGGGAGAAAATTGGACAAAGAACCAATCAAATCAAACCGAAGTCCTAAATAATAAATAACAAATAGGCCTAACGATTACTGACCAGACTAGACCATGTGATTTTGGTAAAAGGGCAAAAGGGCACGAGTAGTATGTACATGAGTTATGCACAAGTTGGAGATGAGTTGGACAAAAGGAGAATAGGAAGATGTTTTGCATTGAAAGGATCACCACTCTTGATAGTCCTTTCTTTAGTGTAGGAAGGTAAAGCCAGAGTTCTCCCTGATCAAAGGCGGCATGTCAACATCTGTTACCTCAATTTCTTTCATTGACTTTGAGATATCATCCACCGAAAACGGAATGCTGCAATCAGAAGTACCATGGCCAACGTTAGAGAACAACTTTTTCAGGTGTGATTGACTTTTGTTGAAGTTTGGTGTAAGGGAATAAACCTTGAATCATCGTCCAGCAAGAAAGAACTGCTCACTGCGTTATTCGAGTCTTCTGTCATCATTATCCTCATACTTGAGATGACCTATAAGCATTTGTGCATGAACAAAAACAATATTTAGTGATAAAGAAATAAAGAAATATAGTAAATCCACCGCTTGACCCAGTAGCAGATGTATATTGGAAAATTTGACAAGTAAAATTAGGCCAAACAAGATTACCTCTGACGAAACAGTATGGGTTCCATATTTATCATCCCAATACATTGTGCTGATTCGGTATAGCTGTTGTATGCTTAGGACC